TATTTAGTTCATATATGCGGCCACGGCTTCTATGAGTTAAGGCGTATGCTAATGAGGAAAAATGTAAACAATGACGTCAGCAAAGATTCGCTTATAAACATGAAGAAAGTGTTAACGTAACGTATAAAAGTGCAATATTGCTGTTACTGTACGTAAGATATTTGGGAGATACGAAAATACCGGCCTTATCTTAGTGTTCCTGTGCTTATTTGCGCGCGAAAATAGACGTTGGCTCTCTGTATCCTCGACAAGCCTGATAGCCTACCTACCTACTATAGTCTCTCTTGCAGCTAGCGGTTAAATTCGATTTGAGGCGAAATATATAGTACTAACTTACCAGGTATAAATGAGCGGGAATGAGTCAGTTAAGCCTTTGTTGTAGCTACATGTGCTGATATTTACAACGAGTGTAACTACGCTCTGCTCCGCGGCGATCACAATGCTGTGCCGGTTTGTGACAACGATCTAAGGTAAGTTATGTGTTGATGGGTCACTTTAAAAACAAAAACATCTTCCCCACGTGAGTATGTTGATTTCTTCTCGCCAAAAATACACAGGCAAAATGTTGTCGTGATCCAGAGCACCAATGAGTTCTAATGCCTTTTCCAATCACTTTATAGAATCTCTGAATGTGGTACATCAACATGGTATTTATTTACAGTCACTCACTGCTTATTTAGGATACACACTCACTACTTTTGTATCGGAAATCTTACTCGTTTCGCGGTACTGTCTCGAACGATTTCGACCTCATCTACTCAAGTAAAGGACGATTTTTTAATTTTTATGGCCCCGTACATACCTTCGATTGTTGTCTTGACATTTGAACCCGCACAGCACCGCACAGCGCTGATCCCGGCTGAGCGTTGTTACACTCGTTGTAAATATCACCATACGTAACTAAAAATAAAAAGCTTAAATGAGCTAATCCCCCTACATTTATACCTAAATTTGCACTTTATATTTCGAGACCTTTTCATATGGATCACTGTGTAAATTCAGTAATCCCAAATTTCACACTCAACCTCACAAGGACTGTTAATCAATAGAAGTTATCGCATTAATCACACAGAAACTTGAAACTTCAACGCACCAACATTAGTCACTCCGCTTCTCACAAAACCACGGCGAAAATGCGTTATTCTACGTCCAAAGACACTGCTCTAGACGCAGAAACTACATAACGCCATACATTTCTTTGTAGCGACTCGCATTGTTTACCCCCTGGCCATCCCAGAATCCTGTGCGCATAACACGGGTCTGCGATTATCATTCATAGCCTGCTGAAGCAACATGGCGGAAGCTCCACGAAACGCTCAGATACCTTCAGGTTATGACGAGGAGTTTGTGAATGAAGTCGACGACGATTTTCTTTGCTTAATTTGTCATTTGCCGCTGAGGGAGCCGGCTCTTACAAGATGCGGTCACAGATTTTGCAATGCATGCCTCGAGGAACATTTGAGAAGGTACGGCTAAATGACTGAATATCGACTGAGTACTATTGAATGTCTTGAATGTTGAGTGTTGAAATAGCTAAGCTTTGAAATAGCTTTGATCCAAAAACTTGCCAGCGTAAAGTGGAGTACAAACTCCTGCACCGTGTTTCAGTGAGAAACGAGACAGTACGTACATACAGTCGAAAAGTTCGAATCATCGGGAGTTTGAAGCAAATAACCGGAAGTAAGGAAATAAGCAAATGGATGGGGAGGGAATGCAATTAAGCAACAAAGTATACAGGAATGGATACTAAATTTGAACTGGAATAGCAAAAAAGTAAAGACAAAGAATTTACTCGGTTGTTTTGAAATAAATTCATTGTTTCGGACTTCAGTAGACGGTTTTTTCGCGACTTGTCACGCGCTTACAACATGGCTCGAGTGATCGAGGGTAAAATTGCATAGAAATGAGCTGAAGGGAAACACAAATTACTTCGAGTTCGCGGGAGGTTCGAGTTATCGAGGGTTCGAGTTAGCGAGGGTAAAATTACAGTAAATGTAAGAAGGAAATCCAGGATAAATCGACTTTGGTTCGAGTTAGCGCGAGGTTCGAGTTAGCGAGGGTTCGAGTTATCGGGAGTCACTACAGAAATTCAGTCCTTAATTAACCAAGGCAAACGACAGTCACCTCAACTTAAACGATTACTTTATACGAAGGCCATGATAATATTCAATTGTTCCTTTCTTTCTTTCTAACTTAACTTTTATTTTACTTTTTTCATTTGTTATTGTATTGACTGTTTTGGTACTGAAATCTTCATGTCGAAGATAAAGTTAGTGAAGTTGTTTCATTAATTTTAATTTTTCAACAGAAGAGAAATGAAGCTGAAAAATCGTTCGCGCTGTTTAGTGACCACTCTAGATACGTTATTGGCATAGTAGTCAGTTCAGCTCGTTTCCTATTAATCAACTTTTGAAAATGTTTTTTGTTTCCTCTGTTTAGAGATGAGTAGCCATTATTCGGTGCCACTGATCTCTTCAGGAATGCGTACAATCTGGTTTCACGCGATCAATGCATAAAAAATGTTGCTCTTGCATAACCTGGCCTTCCAGCCTGCGTGTAGACGTCTCCTCTTTTCTTTGAAACAAAGCGAAAACAAAGGAAATAAAGACGTCCGCGTGGGGGCTACTGGCCTTCCAATAAACAGAGGACAAAATTCAGTTTTAAATTTTTAAAATGTATTTTACGCTTCTATGGATTCTCTGCTCGGAAATGCCTGTTGTAAGTCGTTGAAAATAAGCTATTATTGGTAGAAAGAGGTATTGTGACGGACTAGTTGCATTACTGTAAAGTTCCCATAATAGCGATTTCCCGAAAGTAAAGTCAAAAGTTTCTGACTTCTAATTTATCCCGAAAATATTGAGTCCCCGAAAGTGGCGATCTCCCCCCACCGCCGCCGCCCCCAAAGTCTGTCGAGCGCGTGATAAAAAATAAATCGCGGGGGAATTTTGACTGCCAGCGCAAGGGGTAGGGGTGAGCTCATGTAATCGGCTCCTCTAATGAATGTAAACGGGAACACTTCCGGTGACGGGAACAAAACTTGAGTTTTAACCAAATTTGAATTTAACTTCTAGTACAGATCATTGTCCGCGCGCTTATTTGCATGTTTAGTTTCTTGTCATCTATTCATTTGTTTATCTATTTACTCTGAAAATTAAAACAGACAAGAAGTTCAGAACCAACCTTACACTTGTCCTGCAGATAGGGAAGGCCTGGACCGAGACCGGGTAAATCACTTTCATTTACCTTGTAACCTCTGTGTCTTGTCCGCTATTTTTTCACTTAAAGCTTGCATACCAAATGAAGCAGTCAGGGTGAAATTAGAGAGTTTAAGCAAACAGCAAACGTCAGATTCAAGTTGAGAGTTTCTCAAAATAGAAAATGAGCGGAAAAATACAGCTCAAAACAATTCTTATGGATAAAAAATTGCATGAAGCTACTGATGCAGGTGTAGAAATAAAGTACAGTAGACAGTTAACGACAAGTAAACAGGAAACTTGGTCACGTGGTACAAATTTGCGTTTGCCGTTTGACGTAAACGTGATGCTTAACCTCTCTAATGTCGACTGTAACGTGAAACGAGCTACCACCAAGGGATGAAGCCAGTGTTCAAAAATGTTTTAAGAACATTTTAGAACAAGACAGTCACATCCACGCATTGACACCTTTTTCTTCACGAAAATGTGAGATTATTTTCAGAAGCATTTAGGCAATTCGAAGTAAGTCCATCTTCAAATAATAACAATCATCATCATCATCACCATCATCATCATCATCTTCCATTATCACCATAATTATCATCATCATCATCATCATCAACATAAAGGTCTTCTAGTTGTAAAATATTTGATACTATGATCTCCCCTATTCTAACATACAACACTGAGAGCGAGAGCTCCGCTATCACTATCAATCAAAATATTCTCAAATACATTTTGTACATTCAGTCTAAAGATGAGGAATCTTTTGTGAAACAATCTTTTTAATGTTATTTGACATACACTTTAATGGGAAAAATAACTTCCCCTCTCATTTGATGAATATGTCAGAATATGCTGACCTGACTTTTAGTTCTAATCAAGCATTAGCAAAAGAATTCTTTCAAAAATGTCGAGTCAAAGAGTTACTTATGAGAGCATTGTTTAAATCTCTCTGTGTTAACACGTGTTCCACAGTTTCCCATGATTTCTTTCTATTACAACACTTAAAGATTCATATTAGATTGATCTTGAGCACTGCATTTAATTTTGTTTCTAATTATACTGTAGGATGTATTTCCTGACAACGCAACCGGAAGGAAAATTTTGTCAATGGCGATCAAATGCCCAAGTGACGGTTGTTCATGGACTGGTGAGCTCAGAAACAAGGGGGTAAGAAATTAAAATTATATTCAAGGCGCAATGGATTCAGTTCTTGTGATTCATAAGTCGAGCGGACCCAGACTCTTTCATCCACCTTTGCCGTCGGTCCTAAGTATACATGTGCTGCGCTTCCAAATGACTGAAAGTAAACCTTTTTTACTTTTTTAAAAGGTTAAAATGCTGTCACCCAGGCAGAGGGACTATAACCGTAGTATACTAGAAGTCAATGCAATAACCACTACACAACCGCGTCCACATTTGCTCGTACCAAAAGTTAGATTCCTACCCACTCTTCTCTCTTAATTCTCATAATTTGTTATTATTTTAAAAGGCTCACTTGGAAGCTTGTCCATTCAAAATTGTCACTTGTACCAGCGAAAACTGCCATGTGAGCGTGAAAAGAAAAGACCTCGAACAACACGTGATAGACACGTGCGAATGGAGGATCATAGAATGTGAATACTGTGAAGAACCACACCCAAAGAGGCACTTGCAGGTAAGATAACGATGAATTTTACCCTCGTTGTGTATTTTGCAAGAAACAGATCCTGTTCTTTACAACAGTTTTTACCGCTGGTCGGAGGATTACCCTGACGCTTTTCGTTTGATCTTGTCTTAGCTTTGTGAGCTGAAAATTTTACACGTGCGTTCTTTCAAGTATATCAGGCAGTTTTATTTTATCTGGCATTCCATTTTAATTGGAATACAAGTAAATGTACTTAGCGAAGGTGGTAGCTGTATGTCATTGTGTATTTCCATGAGTTTTTTTTACTTTGCTTTGGATTGGCGACAACAAGCAAGTAGCAAAGTCTAATTGCGGAAGGATAAAATTGAGTGCTTACTAATTGTGTGGAAATTTCGGTGAAAAATTTCCGACAAATGGTACTGTTTTCATTTCTTAGTACAAAATTAGTTGTACCATTAAAGAAATGCGGTTAAATTTTTCTTTTTTTCCGACTAAAAGAAGCTGGGCACAACTAATCCACACAAGGGTAACACCTCGGAAGGTAAGTATTACCCTTTTTCAGAAAAACATTACATCGGCCAGTTGAGACGTTCCATTTGATACGGCATGGTTTTCCCTAACAAATGTTAAGTGCTCATTATTTGTGTTTTGCAGGATCACTTCGAAACGTGCAACAAGTTTCCCCTTCCTTGTCCTAACAGCTGTGGGGATTCAGTTCTTAGAGAAATGGTAATATGTTGCATTGCATTGTATTTTAATTGACGTCATCGATGGCAGAGTAAAGTATCACGGCAGACTATAGCTACATACTTTCTGGCTGTGGCAAGTAAGGACCTTAGCCACGATGTATCTGGACAGTACATATACAGTAGTTTGTTTTAAAAGGTTGGAATTGAACTCCCTGTTGAACAGCAACAACAAAAATTCACTACGTTTGTGCACCCATACAATATATTATCCATATTTATTTAAACTTTGGATGGAGCAAATCAATGTCTACGCTTGCGGTACTATGATCAACTGAAGTGGCTGAAAAAAAAACGGACTTTATCTTCTCCTGAGATGATCAAAAATGCTATATAAAAGGTTGTGCTAAGCACTGGGTATGTCTGTCTGAGTTTTGTTTATATTCGGTTTTTAAGTCAGTATAGCGAACAGGAACAAATAATTTTCATAGCAAAGCGATTGCAAAAAAAGATATCGCGTTCGATATTTGCGCCCCTTTATTTTGAACACGTAATAGATTCTACATCATTCTACATCAGGATTAGTGGAGATCGGGTAAGCCTAAGCAGTGACTAGGCAGGTATTTTGTTTCTTTTGTAGAATTGAACATAATGATACCCAAATAAGGATATGCATATCAAACTCATTGCCCACAAATGAGGACATTTGCTCTTCAGTGATCATTACATGGATTGTATGCTATAGCGCGTGCGCAAAGGTATTATGTTCCACCATCACAGATAAACGGAAAGCACTAGGTAACATCGACCTAAACCAGATGAGTCATCGATACTCGGTCAGCGGCGTCTTACAAAATGACTGAAATGATACCTCGACTTCCGCTCACTTGAGATGCAAAATTTGAGTTAGTTTGAGTTATAAAACGGTTAACATTGTCGTTTCCAGTTTATATTACTCAAAAAATGTTAAATCTGTAAGAGACTCAGCTGTATTGCATTGAACGATGCGGCTCATGGTCTTTCCGAGGAACGTTGGCTTCAGTCGGTGTTATTTAGTGTCAACACGTCACGAAATCCTATCTAACATCGACCGAATCCTAACCGGAACTGACGGCTGTGGCTACGAAAAAACCGAAATAAAATAAATCCCGCGGGAGTGCGAATCCCGTCCCAGTTTTATTGCTGTCATTTGAGTCTCAAATAGTAGTTTTCCAGCTTTTTCCAAATCGCCCCGCCCCCTTAGTAGTTTTGACACTCATGCCAGATGGCAGCCCGTAACGCAAAGCGCTCGACCTCGATGATCTTACGGAAAAAAAGAGGACTTTGAACAGTCTAAAACGGTCACGGTACAAGCGAAGAGAAGAAAGAGAGCAAGATGAACCTTCGAAGGCATTTTGCCCCACCGAAATCTACATGAATCCCAACAAATTACATATCAAAACGCTGCAAATTAATTCAAGTCTGTGAATTTGGCGGTGCATTTATTATTCCGAGCATGCTCTGTCGAGCCAGTCCAGTTTTACTCGACCCGCTGCTTTCAAGACCGGTCACGCTTTTGTAAGTTTACATCCAAACCGACTGAAAAAATATAAAAATGCTCCATCGAAATCTTGACAAAATAACCCAAGTTTTTCACCACTGGTAGCTTAGATAGCACTTAGTTCAATACCGGTGGTGCATTTGTGATAGATCTCCTACTTTGAGAAAGAAAGGCAATATTCTGCAGAAAATAGTGTGTTTTCAGCTCTATTTTACCGGAAGTTGAGGCCACCTGATAAGACATAGGGCAAATGTCGCAATGAGTTTGATATGCACACATAATTTAAATAAACCATGACATCATCGATCTAAAAATAGCAAAAAATAAAAACTAGCTAAAAATAGCACATATCACTTTTCTATTTATAGATTATGATATCAACATTTTATGATGACGTCAACCCCTAGGGTATTCTGACGTCACTTGCTCCTTGCCAACTGAAAACAAACTATGGCATCGTCCTATCTTAATGAGATGCACGACGTCATCGGTGTTAATTTATGTCACTCATAAAGTTAATTAAATCCACAAAGAAACGGCCTAACCGGTCCCTTCTCTACCACTCATTAGTCTGAAACGTTATATGGGGCGATGACACGGATCACATTTCAAACTATTCACTCATTTAATTCTACCATTTTCTTTTAGATTCCAAATCACATTGAAAACGACTGTCCTTTGACTTTAGTCTCCTGCCCTTATGCTCAAATGGGATGCACTGAAAAGGTTTGTTTTTATTGGATTAAATTCTGAATTTAGCGGGTAAAAAGCATTGTGACATAGTACATATGAGCAACAACGGTCTGCTCAACATTTCAATTCCGACCATTTGTCGCGAGTGTTTTTTTTTTAGGTAACGCCTTTCAGTTTTTTCACCAACGGTTCTATCCCTCCTGCACTTAGACGATTGCTAATTTTTTTTCCAATATGTGGCATGAGACTGAAAATGCATTGCCCAGAAAAAATAAACGTTTTAGTAAAAAAAGACTATTTTCTAAGGTCATTTGTCTTCTTTCAGCAGTTACAACGCAAAAACGTGGATTCACATCTTCAATCCGCCATGCAAGAGCATCTTGACTGTGCTTGTATTAAACTTAACAGCACACAGGTTCAGCTGGATGAAACTCGAGCTCAATTAAGTCGTTTAACCCAGGATCAGCAAGAATCTCGAGAAGCAACAAGAAAACTTGAGGAGAAATTAGGGGCACTTCAAAGGCAGATAGATACGAAAGTGATTACAGATAAGGATGAACGTAACACACGTTTTATTTGGAAGATTACATCTTTCAGTGAAAGTTTAAGGCAAGCAAAGGAGGGGGTAAAGAAAGAGATAGAAAGTGATCCATTCTACGCTGGATGTTACGGCTACAAATTAAAAGTGTCTGCTCATCCTTACTTCACCGGATTCGTTTTCGCTATTCCTCCCCATTTCTCGATCGGTATTGTTTTAATGAAAGGTGAATATGATGATATGTTACCCTGGCCTTTCAGGAGGAAAATAACGTTCACTATAATTGATCAAAATAAGGTTCTCAAAGAAAGGCAGAACTACACTGATTATTTAAGCCCAAGTAAACCGGAATTATTTCTTGCGGCAAAATCTATATTCTCAGAAAGACCACGAGAAAAAAATATGGTACTTAAAAAAACGATAAGCCAATTCATATCTCATGAGAAACTTCAAACAAGGCGCTACATTGTAAATGACACTCTGTTTCTTCAGGTCGATGTGGGACCTGATGACTAGTTATCACCATGTTCCGTTTCTTTTCAAGTTAATTATTTTCTACAGAGAGGGTTATTCACCCCTCACTCGGTTAGTAAACGGCCGTTTTGAGTATAATTCTTTAGGTATACTGCAGAACTTAGAACATATTTTACTTGAGCTGTATAGAACTTAAAAGCTCTAAAATTAAAATTAGTAACCACAATGATTTGAATAAGCGCCCACCCTCTCAGCCAATCTAGAAAATGCGTAAAGTCCAACCGGTATCAAATGGTCATCCATTGTTTTAAAAGTGGTCACTTGCCCTTATAATTGCTGTAAACTGTCTTGTAGTAAGCGCTAGCGATTGCTCTTTTTATTGTCCTCATTGTTATTAAAGATGTACCATATTAGTGCACTAGTTACGTATTTACATTGTGCGTGGCGTTAAATGGTCTTTTTTTTTTCTTTTCGAGCAAAAAAAAAAGAAGAAACTGCTTAGGTTGATCGAACAAGTATTGAACTGTCAACTGACCTATTGTTAGCGGACAGTTGACCATTCAACATACGTTCCCTTAATTATCTCCTCACTTTTAATAAATAAAATGGATATGAAAATCTCTTTCACTTCACGACACCATCATCATGCGCCATGAGATCAGGATATGAGCGCGATATAAATAATTTAATAAGTTAATATAGCTTCCTCACGAATGAGCTCCCTGCTTCGAATAACACCCATTATTCCTTTTGACCGGAATTTTGAATAAACATCTGGACGTGGGCGTTATTGTCGGTCGGTCAGCGTTACTCGTCAACTGCATAAATTTAGTACGTCAGCACACGCCCTTCATCAAAAACACAAAAGTCACGGCCGACTTTTCTGTAAACCAGGTTCCTTTGGTTGATATATCGTTAGTTCGTAAGGTATCGAATGATCAAAATGGCCACAGCTTGAAATTATTACGTCACAGCAAATTTACTTCACGAGGCTCATAACTAAATACAAAGGTTTTGAGATGAATTCGCTGTAACGTTACGTTTATTTTGTAGAATTCCATACCCTTTCCCCGCCACAGACGCGTATCCTGGAATTTAAGATGACGAAGGTCCAATTCAAGCTTCCACCCTTCCCATCGCCACTGCGGGCAAATTTAAATATGCACGTGATTAGGTGGCATACTTCATGGTCAAGGTTTATTACCCGGCGGTTTCAAACTACTAGATGAAAGTTGTATGAGATCATTCTGTGTTACCAAATTTCAAAGGACTTGGTCCACATTAGTAAATACATATAATCTCTAACTAGATGGCTCCATTCAGGGTTGTCCGGAACCCTAGTACCTAGACCCGCCTTTGCTCTATAACCTTTTAAGTAATTTTTTTCTAAAAGTACTGGCCTTGTGAAACAAGCACCAAATAAGAATATAACCTTAGTTTGAGAGAGCTTTCTAGTTGGAAAGTAATTTGGAGAGTGAAAATACACGCCCAGTGCATCCTGAAGGGCTCTAATTTACTTAAACTGTTTAGTAGTTACTCCTTTTAAAAAAAAAAAAAAGCGTTACTGGACCATCAGCGCGCAAAGCAAGCCCTCGAGGAGAGAGATCGCCCCCGAGAGCTTGCTCGCAGGTTGCTTGACCAGTGCCACTATTAATATTACATGTATCATTATCCGATTTCTAACTATTTTTATTCTTCACAAGCTAGATAACCTGCTAATAAAATTGTACTAGGAAAAACAATACTTATTGCATCAGANGCAGCCTGACGGGCTCTCATTTACTTAAACTGTTTAGTAGTTACTCCTTTTAAAAAAAAAAAAAAAGCGTTACTGGACCATCAGCGCGCAAAGCAAGCCCTCGAGGAGAGAGATCGCCCCCGAGAGCTTGCTCGCAGGTTGCTTGACCAGTGCCACTATTAATATTACATGTATCATTATCCGATTTCTAACTATTTTTATTCTTCACAAGCTAGATAACCTGCTAATAAAATTGTACTAGGAAAAACAATACTTATTGCATCAGACAATACGCACTCAGAACCAAGCACTAATGGGCTTAGCTTGTTAATCTACAGTATTTTTATCTAGTAGAACACTGTGAACTATTAAAAGAACACTCTTTGCATAATAATAATAATAATAATAATAATAATAATAATAATAATAATAATAATTATTATTATTATTATTATTAATTACTGGGAAAACCGTAGACACGAAATGCAAGAATTAAACGATTGACGAGAAGTGGTTCTCAGAGAGTAGCAAAGGGTTTATGCGTGACGCGGGAAAGTTCTCAGAATAGGAACGTGATTCGTGAAACCAGTTATGTTTGTGAGGCGTGATTTATCTTATAAGATGCGTGGGACTCGTGATTATTTGTCGCATTTCGAGAAAATCAATGATACAGGACAGACAGATTGAACAGGGTCGTTGGTTTCATTCTTTGTGTTACGTTTTTGTCTTGGTTAATAGACCAGACCCTAATAACCGCACGTGACCAGTGACCACTTCGACAATTCTCGTGTTGCTTTGTTTTCGTGTTAAACTGATTGAATTTCCCGAACGAAAGGCCTCGGAGGTCACAGTTGCTGTAGCCTGCGCAAAAGACTCCGGTTTTGTTAAGGCGAAGGGAAAAATTTCGAAGGCACACGTGCGCGCTCGTTTAAGGGAGAAAAACTAACCAAAAAAGTAACCTGCGCCTCTCACGCAGGCTTCAGTCGCTTGCGGGTAAAATGAAATCGCGTCGGCGGCGTTGATGTGTTCTCAATTTCAACGCAAGATGCATGGAAACGCGTGACTGCTTACCGGAACGCCCTTTAAGATCGGCCCACCGACATTCTAATGAGAGGAGAAGCGGGGAAAAACTGTGTTCGTCAAATAGAATGCGAATTCGGATCCATGATGATTGTGTTTCGGTTCTTAGCCCCCTTTCGATCAACAGGTGACAGGTGAGATTCGTGACTCGTGAAAATTGGTTTATAACCCACGTGATACGTGAAACTGGTCAAAATTTGTACGTGAAACGTTCCTATGGATGTCGTTTGAAAATTGTACAAAAATAGTGAAGATAAGTGTCTTTCATGGCGGTGTCTTAAAGGGGCAAAATTTTTTAATGGAAAGTATACGAAAGGGGTACCTTTTTTTGTCAAAAATGGTAAATAAAAGGTTGGGGAAAAAACCGCAGGGCGATTAGCCTCCCCCAAGAGCCATAATGGGACCCATCAAGGCTCTTGCCTCCCCGCATAAAAGGTTGCTGAAAAGCCCCTCAGGGTCTCTAGCTAGGAGATTGCGTGAGATACGACCCAAACACATATGTTATTTTTGGGAGGTCATTTGCCGTTAAATTTGACCCCAAAGGCTTTACGTTCGAAATAACCTATTGTTTAATATTCTCAAAATGGCGGAAGCACCACACCATCCACGGTTACCTTCAGGTTATGACGAGGAATTTGTTAGTGAAGTTGATGACGACCTTCAATGTGTAATCTGTCAGTTGCCGCTCAAAGAACCTGTCCTTACGAGATGTGGACACAGGTTTTGTAAAGGATGTCTCGAAGAACATTTGAAAAGGTGCGTCTCCCATGATAAGTAACTGAAGTATGCATATTTTACAACCTTGTGATGTTTATTATGACTGGGGTCCAAAGCATGTGGAACCGCCACCTTGTTCTAGAAAGAACTGCTAAACTGCAAACTTCTGTGAAAGCTCTCGTCTCTCGGTCAGACAAAAGTTAACACATCCATATTGCGTGGTGCTTCCGCATGGAAGGAAACCACCTTCCTGTAACTTTAGTAGGTTGAATTGAAACCCGAACATCACTAGTAATTTAGCAAAAAAACTCGGGTAAAAAACCGTCCATTTTAATGGTAATCGCAAATTGTGATCATTTACATATTTTATTACCGCTCACATTGGTCCTAACTCAATAACTGTTTGCTGTGTTGCATACGTTCTTAAAAACGGTGCAATGCTAATCAGGCGAAATAGGTTTTAGCGATCGCTACCAATTGCTTTTTGGCCTCTATTGCTGACCAAGACCATCGCGAGGTACAGGAGTACTTGATAAATTGCCGTTAAATTGAGCCGGACAGTTTGAGAGTTACCGAAACTTAGCGACACCAAAGCTTGGTTTTCAGAAGGTCTGGATTTCAATAAAAATGTAACGCTTGTAAAAGTCTAGCAAGATTGCCATTACTATTACTATTATTATTCAGGCCATCTGCATGACTATACATAGGGCGACGGACTCAAATCTCAAAGCATCCGCAAGCCGGCTTCTATCCTAAAATGGAAGTCACGCGCATCATCGAATTATGAATATTTCGTGAATTATCGAATATATTTCTTGAATCATCGAATGAATTTTACTCGAATACTCGAAATTATCGAATGAATTTTGTTCGAATCATCGAATGAATATTGCTTGAATTGTCTCATAAATGTAGGAGAAAATCGAATGCATCATGAAGTTGAATTTATCGAATTTTGCTACAAGTTTACAGTCAAGCCAGGTCAAGCGTACCCCCTAAGGTCCCATTAATGAATTTATTATTCGAAGGTTGAATCCGTTGGTAGTTGTGGATTTCAGATTGCCTAGTCCCTAGACCTCATTTTTCCTCGCGGCCAAAGCGTTTCGGGTCACGTGGTCCATCCGAAAATGTGAGACCTAGACAAAAATCCTCAAAAGTGAGACAAAAGGGAGACAAACCCACGAGCGGCAACCTCCGATAGCTCAGTTTGAATGATGAGATTGAAGGAGCAGTATAAATCTTCATAGGACTATGAATAACATTCTGATGACTTTTCAAAGCCGGTCAGCAAAGTCGATCCTACAAATATCTACAAGAATGGTTAATAACCAGATCTCCTGCTGCCTGCTTGCTTGCTGCTCACAACATTAACGTCATCTTTGAATTTCAAAAAGTAACGCACGCATGCGCATTCTGTTTTTGTCTAGGCGTTTCCCGCCCGTTCGCCTCGGATACGTCACCGAAACGAATTGACCGAGAGGGACTGGGAAAACGCCGGACAGGGACTAGGCAAGATTTCAGATTCGTCTATGCATTCTTACATGCGTAATGAGCCGTGAATTTTTCACGCGATTCAGTCACGAAATTTCTACCAGGTCAGTTTCCCTGCATTTGATGAAAATGTCTTCTACGAAATTTCATCCATTCAAAGATTTTCAATCTGACCAGATACAGAGAAGTTCTCGTAAAATATTCACTGCTCATTACGCGTGCAGGAATGCCGGAACGACTAACTCATTCATATTCATTAATAGAATCTTGCGGGGTACGCTTGACCTGCCTTCAGACAGTAACGAATGTGTTGAACAAAATCAAATATATTTGAGTTTTATAGTCAATATGTGGAAATTATCAAAAGCATATACATAACATTGAATATTGACACATTTCGGCATCCATACCGGAGGGGTACTCAACAAAGTTTTCTCCGGGGGGGGCTCCCCCCAGGTCCAACCTCTTACTCTTTTATATACCACTCTTGACGAAAAAGGTACCCCTCCATATATCTTCTATTGACAAATGGTACCCCTTTTAAATACCTAGTTTAGAATTTTGCACCTCTTTTAACTGATGTAAATAGATTTTTAGCTGACTAGTTTTTGAAGAGTTTCTTTTGTCAGATGAGACGCACTTCACTAGCCATAGTCAGACAATGCAAATGTGGAAGCATGGATTGTCCGCCGGGACAAAAAAAAACTGGCCGGTAAAGAATGAGGTGGCCGTTAGTGGAGGCTCGACTGTATAAAAGCACGCATTTTCGCTAATTTACCAGCCCCGCCCTAAAAATAAGGAGAGAGGCCCGTCTGTGAATATCAGTAGTGTCTATGAATCAAATTTTCAGAGAATTGAAACAGAGCCTGGAAACTAATAAATTGACTGGGTTTATCTATTCTAAATAGTTTTTTAAATTCATTTCTGTATTTTTTTAACCGATAACTTCATTACGCAGACAAGAAATTCAAGCCCATCCTTACACTTGCCCTTCTGATAGGGAGGTCCTGAATCGAGAACAGGTAAATATTTTTCCTTAAATACATTGTTATGTTGATAAAATGCTTTCATTCCTCGCTTGCTTTTAGTCGGTTTAAAGAGATAGTGACTGAAAATCGTACCGTGGTGATCGTGCTACCGGTACCTCTCGACAAAGATTTCTAAAGCCTGGCAACCTCCGCTTTGGAATATTTCGCTGGACCCTCCCACAAGTTGTTTGGAAGAGGTCAATTTTAAGAATATGATATATAAAATACTTTTCAAGCAATAGAATGTAAAATCTGGTAGGGGTTAGGAGCTAAACGATCTTCAGCTTCAATTTGCTTTCTTCCAAGAGCAATGGACCGTCATAAAAACCATTGAAATAAAATTTGATTTGTTAACCAAGAACTCACGCCTAAGGTACAGCTATACGCGCTGCCCCTATTAGTTTCAACTTAATTTCCATATGTTGAAGCTCCCAAAGTGGAAGTTAAATCATAACACAATTGAACAAAAAATAATATATAGCCATTATGAGTTCTTAGTTTTTCTTTTGTTTTTGCACAAGGACATATTTCCAGACAAACCAACTGAGAGAAAAATTCTTTCTTATGCAATCAAATGCCCCAGCGAAGGTTGTCATTGGAAAGGTGAACTGAGGAACAAGGAGGTAATATTGCATTTACTGAAGCTGACCTGTAATATTTAGTCCTTGAACAGGGTCGGATATCAATAGTCAGCCCAAGTTGAAATATTTCCTGACTGTTTTTTCCCAACAAAAGTCAATTGCTAAATCACAATTTTGACTTTGGGTCTATTTTTTTTGTTTCTTTTCCTTGGATAGCTTCGTGAATCCTACACCGTAATTTCAGCTATGCTACATATTAACAATTGACCCTGCTAAAAGATTGGATGCAAATAAATTTTCAGGCGTTGTTATAAACATATTAGCCGATAATTATTTTTCATATTTTTACTATTAAATCATATATTTAAGAAATATTCGTAAGAAAATCGTAAAGTTTAGCTATTAAATTTCACATTAGTTTCCCCAAATAAGTGGAACCTATGAACTTCCGCTTAGCAGTTTGATACTTTGACCAAGTAGTTTATCCTTTTTCTATTATTTTTCTTACTGTTTATGACAGACGCACCTAGAAACGTGCCGCTTCGAAATCGTTACTTGTGTCAACGAAAACTGCCGTGAGACTATGAAGAAAAAAGACCTCAACAAACACGTGACAAACACGTGTGAGTGGAGGATCAGAGAATGTGAATACTGTAAAGAACAACACCCAAAATGTCACTTGGAGGTAAAAGTTATTTAAAGTAACACAGTTCTTGCATTCACGCAGGTTACATTTATTTTTCTAGAAAGTACGAACCACGTACGAATGTGGTAACTTCAGTGCCTGTTGTTGTGTATTACTGGTTGTTTACCATTTACACGGGCAAACCGGTCGGTCCACGGTCTGGGTAAACGGTACGCAAAATTCAGGACTGGTAAATTTCGTCCCCGAATCGCGTTTACCATTTGTACAAATCAGTTCCATTTACCGAGAAACGACCGCGAGAGCCTGAACCCGGTATCAATGGCTTTGAAGAAATGGAACACGAATTGCAGTTTGGAATAATCCGTCCGGAAAAAACAGGACTTTATTTTTTCCAAGCTTGTGAGCGGGCGGAATCCTCCAAATCCGGCAATCTGATTGGTCCGAGAGAGTGCGGTATTTTACGATCTTGCCCGTTAACCCGGGCGGAATCGTTGGCAGCTTCATTCACAAGTTTTTTTGTTGTTTGTGAATGAGCAAAATCCGTCATTTTCAAACCATTTTTCTTTTAAAACTTGTGCTATTATTAGCATTAGCTAGGGAAAAGTGAATTTCATTATTCAGACAAAAAATCTCAAGGGAGAAGCAAGCAAGTCAGCCAGGAAAACCGTTAAAGTAAAGCAGGTGGCTCATGATGTCACTTCACTAGCTTTATAACCCCGCTGTAAGTACTGCCATCTTGCTTTTATGCACCGTTTATCGGACATTTGCTCTGTTTGTACTTTTGTTTCCGATTTTTGCTGTATGAATCTAGATTCTTCCGTTTTTCATTGGATTTTGCCTTGCTAGTTTTCTGCTTATCAGAAAAGGTTGTTGTCTATGATTGCATTTAGCTTTCAATGTTAAATAAATAACACGAATCACTTTTCCAGCAGTCGGTTATCGCCGTTTTCATTTCTTTGTTACTCACGTCGCTTTCTTTTGTTCGAATTCAATTCAAAACCTTAAAATTGGTATGTGTAATTAGCTCTTTTTACAAAGCTTTTGTGCAGTTTTCATCCCGCTCGATTGAACTAATCTTCAGGCAATTTTTAATTATCAAGCCGAAGAAAATCCTTGCTGTATTTTTTTCTTGGGGCTTTTAAAGTCAAGCTCGTCAATTCTTTTATCCTTGTTTGACATTCAGATTATGAATTGTCTAGCAAGCTAAGACGCAAAAACCTTTCTTTATTCTAAAAGAGAGCAGTAAGAGACATAATAAAAATTACCGAGGTGAAAATCATGTAATGTTTTAATAAGATGGTGGGTATATATAAATTTTCCTTTCTTTCTTTCAAATGTACAAGCTGACAAGCTTTACGACCTTTAAAACGCAGTACACCAACATAAAGTGGCTTTCATAGATTGGCGTCATAGAAGTTTTCCCATTTTCAAGCACCAAACATTGCACTGTAATTTTCAGGGAGTTATAATAACTCCTCTAGTGGGGCTAATTTAACTCCTTACAGTGGAGTTATTTTTCGTGGAGTTATTTTAACTCCAAAAAGGAGTTTAAAGAACTCTTTTTCAGGAGTAAAAGTGACCCAGATATTGAGGAGTTAAAATAACCCCAAAAAAGGAGTTATCCTGTACCTAAAATTTTTACTCCACTTTCAGAGTTAAATTAACTCCAAAAAGAGTGATTCGGAGTAATTTTAACTCCAGACTGGGAGTAAAAAGAACTCTTTTTCAGGAGTAAAAATGACCCCAAATTCGGAGTTAAATTAGGAGTTAAAATAACCCCAAAAAAGGGGTTATCCTGTACCTAAAATTTTTACTCCATTTTTGGAGTTATAATAACTCCCTAAAAATTACGGTGTGGTTGAGTATCGAACATTAGAAAATGAAAATTTCTCTCGGCTGACCATGGAGAAGTAAATGATAGTCTTCCTTTGATCGAAAAGGTAAATTATTTGTCTTTTTGTAGGATCACCTGGAAACGTGCAACAAATTTCCACTTACTTGCCCTAACAGCTGTGGAGATTTAATTCCTAGAGAAATGGTAAATGCATTACATAATAGTTGGAATGACTTTCTTAATTTGTTAGTATTGTCACAGGCTATCGCTCATTAGTTTCTGCCTTCGCGATAAGTGATTGTTTCAAAACGTTTGAATTGATGTGAGAAAGGGCTAGCACCTAGTTACTTGAGTGATCGCTTTGTGACAAGATCCGACTTCATGATCGCAAAACAAGAAATAAGGACTATCTTAATATTCCAGGTTATCAATCGGCCACTGGTCAACGAACTTTTCTATACAGATCAAGCAATTAAACTGTGGAACTCATTGCCACGAGCGATCACTGCTGCAGATAGCCTGCGTACTTTCAAAAAGAAACTTATAGAGAATTCCTTTTTGAATCATTTCTTGTCAGCTAGGAGAGTTACCTATTGATGTTTTTATCTATTATTATAATTTTAACGTTTAGATGTTTCAAACTTAGCTTTATTTGAATTATTTATATGCTTATATACGTTGGGTCTTAAAAACCCTGATTGGGAGATTCAATAAAGTTTTACCTTTACCTTACCATCCTCCTATTGAACAGCAAAAAAACTTTCTAATATTGCAAACATGAAGTAATATATTGAACTGCGGATGTTACCGTCATCCCATAGTGTTTTCATCAACCGAATTGGATGGGAAAAAACGAATAAAGGGTCAATGCAGGTTCGGCCTTAGTCTCCCACGCGGCCGTTCTTGACAACGTCACGCAACGCTCCTTCCCATCCCTACGTAAAGACCAGATGCATAAGAGACTATCTAAACCGCGCTTTGAAACACCTTTCTTCAGTTTATGATTTTCTGCTGAGTCAATAAAAAGCATGATTTTTAAGGATATGCACTGGGTCTTGCAATTGAGTCGATCCGTTCGCTACTTTAATTTTATCATTTTCTTTCAGGTTTCAAACCACATTGATAACGACTGTCCTTTGTCTGTAGTCTCCTGCCCTTATGTTGAAATTGGATGCATTGAAAAGGTTTGTTCTTTGTGATAAAATTCTGAACTTAGCGGATTGAATGCAATATTCATTGGACGACGTCATTGGTCTAGTAAACTTTTCAACGTTCCTACCATTGTCTGTATTATTAGATGACACACCTCAGTTCTCACTATTCCACCCGGCACTTAGGGCTTGTTTATATGAGTTGAGCCAGTCCGGTTAGCTCATGCCTTATTCCCGCTAAAAATGAATTTTGTTTATATGAGAGAGTGGGCTGGCCCGCTTGCGGAGATCTTAGCTCGTAAAAGCAGGCCTGCCGACCTCCTCATATAAACCCAGGGTTCGTACAGGTCATGGAAAACCTGGAAAGTCCTGGAATTTCAGCATTTCATTTTCCAGGCCTGGAAAGTCATGGAATTTAACAGTCGGTCCTTGAAAGTCATGGAATATTAAAGTTTTGCCATAGCTTAGTTACTGCCGATGACAAGGCAAGGACAAAGTAAGGTGGAGAGAAGTGACTGAACAGCGCGAACGGTACGCATTTTGGTTGACACCGGAATGTTTGTGTCTGTTGAACTGTGTAAGGTCCAAAAATACCCTCAAACAAGGGAAGTCCTTAAAATTTTTGAAAGTGACAGCTAAACCTAAGGTCTTGAAAAACGTAAAAAGGTCATGGAAAAAGTCATAGAAAGTCATGGAATTTGAAGAGCTCAAAAGAGTACAAACCATGAAAACTTAACCTCCCGAGGGGTACTCCCCCTAGGAGGCTCGGCCCGAAAGAGGTATACCAAATCAGGCTTAAGATATATGAAAAGGTAGGGAAATATGTGATTTTGGTCTGTAAAATATAATGACGTTAAGGGCTTCGGAAGGATTCCATGGCAATGAAAAAGTCGAGAACGTTTTCTAGTTTTGCGATTCATTCATATGTAAAAGAAAGTACATTTACAGCAATTAAAAGGGATGCAAAGTTCTAAACTAGGAATGTGAAACGGGTGCCATTTGTCAGTGAAAGGTATACGAGCCGCAGCGCAAGATTTTAACGGTGTACGCACGCGGGAAAGAAAAGTTGTAGCACTCAAGGCGGCCAAACCTGGGGGGTCTGGGGGCATTTTCCCCCAGAAAATTCTTAAATTTAGGGTCTCGGAAACACCATTTCCAGCATTTTCCGCAGGACATTTTCAGCAAGTTTATACGCAGGAAAACGCCAGTAGTTAGTTGTTTATTTTACTCATCTTTAGTGTTGTCAGTGAGGTACAGTTTTTACGGAAAAAAAGGCAAGTGATGCAGTCAGAATTATAGAATGATAGAACTCAAGGTTAAAGGAAATACTAACACATAGCAATATAGTGTGAAAAAATTATCAGTCATCCCGATTTAATGATAAAAAATGCTTTTTAAGAAAATAGAAAATATATTTTTTACATATTTCAGCCGGTACATGTACGCACTCAGGCGTATGTGCGTATATGGACGCTCAATTACCAGCCGCTGTTCGATTCACGGGATTTTTATTCTAGACGAAACAGGATTTTTCCGCTTTTTAAAAGTTTTCCACATCCGCCCACTTCTGATCGACGGGCAAATGTTCTATACAGTATTTACGTTTCCCTAAAAAAACAAAAAACGGGATATTTTTTTTCTGAATCGATTGACTGCAAACAAAAGGGACTCAATTCGAGCTGTGTACTTTATTTTTTATTTCAGTTAATTTTTGTTTTTCCTTAGTTTCATATCAAGAGAGGATGATTATCTCTTGTTCATATTTCTTAGCACTCATTACCATAACCAAAAACTAAGGAAAAAGCAAAAATTAACTACTCCAATTAACTACATCATACACATCCAGAAACCTTAAAAGGGGCTGACTTCCGGCACAGGCAACTCAGGATGGCTACGTACACAGCCTAGTAAATTAGCTTGCCGGAAAGCCCGTGTGACTTCTCTTCGCAGCAATGAAAGTTACCAGGGGCGTAGCCAGCCCATAGACCTGTAGGCCTTGGCCTACAAAGTTTTGGTTTTATACAGTCTACCGCTTGTAATAAATTATGCGTTGTTGGGGTGAGCTAAAGTGTTGATGAGGTCTGTGCGTACTAGTCCTGCGTGCAATTTTCAGGATATGTGGAAATGAAAGTCAGCCAGGCCTACAACTGGTCGGAAAGCTGGCTACGCCCCTGGTAACCAAACAATAGATAGCATTTGAGTCACATGTACCCCATAAAACCCCATGCAAATTAACCGATTAGGTAGACTAAGAGTTGACTTTAATTTGACACAAGCCTAGGACTGTTCAGCTAATTGAGTATTCTTGAACAAATCTCTACTGATTAGTCTCATTTCATAAGTGCCATAGAATATTGCCGTCTTGGACCTTAATGAGTTAATTGTAATTTTGCTCGCTATTATCAAGACCCTTAAAAAGCGGACCCGAATATTCTATTTAGTATTTAGTCTGCAGAATTTTTTGATACGAATAAAAGTTTTGTTTTGTTCTGCAGTCTCTACGCAAAGACGTGGAGTCGCATCTTCAATCAGCCACGCGAGAGCATCTTGACTTTGCTTGTGTTAATGTTAACAGCACACAGGTTCAGTTGGATGAACAACGAGTTCAGTTACATGAACAACGAGTTCAGTTGGATGAACAAGAAGGTCAGTTGGATGAACAACGAGTTCAGTTGCATGAACAACGAGTTCAGTTGGATGATCAAGAAGGTCAGTTGGATGAACAGCAAGTTCAGTTGGATGAACAACGAGTTCAGTTGGATAAACAACGAGTTCGGTTGGATAAACAACGAGTTCAACTGGATAAACAACAAGTTCAGTTGGATGAACAAGAAGGTCAGTTGGATGAACAACGAGTTCAGTTGGATGACCAACGAGTTCAGTTGGATGAACAACGAGTTCAGTTGGATAAACAACGAGTTCAATTGGATAAACAACAAGTTCAGTTGGATGAACAAGAAGGTCAGTTGGATGAGCAACGAGTTCAGTTGGATGATCAACGAGTTCAGTTGGATGAACAACGAGTTCAGTTGGATGACCAACGAGTTCAGTTGGATGACCAGCGAGTTCAGTTGGATGACCAACGAGTTCAGCTGGATGACCAACGAGTTCAGTTGGATGAACAACGAGTTCAGTTGGATGAACAACGAGTTCAGTTGGAAGAACAACAAATTCAGTTTGATGAGAGACGAGTTCAGTTAGGTGAAACACAAGCTCAGTTAAGAGTAACCCAAAAAACAACAAGAAAACTCGAGGAGAAATTAGAGGCGCTTCAAAGGCTGATAGAAAGGAATGCGAATACAGATAGAGTGATGGTAGAGGGCGGTAACAAACAGTATATTTAGAAGATTGAAAAGTTTAGTGAAATTTTGAGACGAGTAAAGGAAAAAGTGAAGGAAAGGATAGAAAGTGACCATTTTACACTGGACCCTGTGGCTACAAATTAAAAGTGTTTGCCAATCCTTACCGCCCTTATTGGCGTACAGGGTCATCTTCTCCTCATCTCTCAATCGGTATCGCTTTAATGGAAGGTGAACATGATGACATGTTAAACTGGCTTTTCAACAAGAAGATAGCGATTACAGTGATTGATCAAAATAGGAATCTTAAAGAAAAGTAGAACGTTACAGACTACTTGAGCCCAAGTAGACAGCAATCGTTCTACATTGAAGGAAGTATTTTCTCGGCAGGAAAGACCAGGTGTAGAAACTAAATCAGCACCATAGGGTCAGCTACGGTTTTTTATGTCTCAACAGACACTTCGAACAAGGCGCATATACATAGAAAATGACACTCTTGTTATTCAAGTCGAAGTGGACTCTGATGCCTAATCTTATTCCGTTCCTGTTCAAATAAATCGTGTATGCAATGATAGTTGTGATTTGCGGTGCACAGGTAGAGGCTAAAGGGGTTTTTTTAAAGAAAGGGTTATTCAAGTTTCACTCTGTTAAGACAGAACTCGTTTGAGTATTCTCTATACTGCAGAAGAACTCATCAATTGACAATAAACTGATTTGAGGCAAAAACTGTATATTTACCGTTATTATTTAACTTGGATAAGTGCACACTCCTCAGGCAATAAATGAAGTCGAAAGGACAAGGATCTAATTTAACATTGAAGTCCAAGATTTTTAAGCAACCGGCACACAACCAAATCAGAAGTACAAACAATGAACCAGTCAATAGTTATATCATCTTAGTTAATTATATCATGGTTATGAGGCTTATGTATTTCACCACGGTGTAAGTTGTATATTATTAATCCTTTTGAAAGAAAAGAAGTCTAGAGTTAGCCTTCTCATAAACCTATGTTAATGATACAGAGATGTTAACAAAAAAAAACAGAATAAACGCGCCACATTTGTTTCTGTATGGCCCCCCCTTTTTTTTTCTCTGAGAGGTACTCCGCCGGAGTACGCCCCTCCCGGCCCTCAAACCAATATTTTCAAGTTCTAATTCAACCTGGAATGTATGACCCTGCATGGGAGGATAAAAGTTGCCAAATCTTTCGAAACAAGATTTCCTGTAGCCGTAAAATCCCTTTGCCCGTTAAGATCATGCGTTTTCTCAGATCGCACTTTATGACTTGATGGCCCCATTAAGGTTTGCTCGGACCTCCTAGTACCTCCTACTAGATAAACCATTGCTCCACCAGCTATACCACTGTAAAAACAGCAAGTGTCTTTGTTGAACAACCACTCAGTAAGTCAATAAAAAAACAATGTTTTAAAAGAACCCCTTCGTTGAAAAATAATTCAGAGATACGGGACCTGTGCATCCTGAAGAACGCTAATATAAGTGTGTTATTCTGCATTAATTCTCCTTAAAAAGAGCGTGAAGGGACAATAAAGCGTCCAAGCAAGCTCTCGAGAGTAGAAGGGGGCAGGCAAGAGCTGGCCCATTGCCACTCTTCCATGTTCAAGATGAGCTTGCATATCACGTCTTTAAAACTAATGTACTCAAACAGATTCGCCTTAGATGTAAATGTAAACTTCTAGCGCTCTTAAATCTTGTTTTTTTTTTTTATAAAGAAACTTATCCGGTTAAAATTTCATGTTAATTCATCATTTAGCGTCCAACTTTAAAAGAGTATCGTTTTGAGAGAAAATGAAGCGCGGGAAAACCGCGTCCTATTGCTTTACACGGAAAAAATCCTAACTTAATATTGATAGAGATGAAAGCTACAGAGAAGCACTCTGAGTACAGAAAATAGCAGTTCCTTCACGTACCGCAGACGTTTCCCGTTTCCATTTGCTGTTTTGACGGTGCAGAATTGCTAAGTTAATGGACCACACAGCATCGCAATGTTAATCAATGATTATTATCAAGGCTGGAGAATACATATACGATAAGCTGAACAAAAAGAAAGTGTTGAGGTAGTGGCGTTTTAACCTTTTTATGTTGCTGTTACAGTGGCGGTTTAAGAAATTTGAAAATACGAGAACCCGGTTTTAACCTGGTGTTCCCGTGCTTGTTGAAGTATAAAATAGAGCTACTGACGTTTATCCATTCGACCGTTCGATGTAGCACCCTACCACTCCTTAAATATTTTTTATGGTCTTATGTCTCGGTTGAGAGATCTATTTAATGTGGGATCATTTGCATATAGAATTTCGTTTTACAATGGCGGAAGCACCACGCAACACGCAGTTACCTTCAGGTTTTGACGAGGATTTTGTGCATGAAGTTGAAGATGATTACCTATGCTTAATTTGTCAATTGCCGTTGAGGGAGCCTGTTCTAACAAGATGCGGTCACAGATTTTGCAAAGCATGCCTCGAAGAACATTTGAGAAGGTAGGTCTAACTGACTACGAATTCTGACTAAATGCTGGTTGTCAAAGTAACTTTGATCTCAAGTCTTGCCACCTTAAAATAGAGTGCGAACTACCGCACCTTGCGACCGTTAACATCTCCGCAATACGAACATTTCGTCGACGAAACGTTAACCTTCATTTACTGAGGCAAACGATAGTCACCTCAGGTTAATCGATTTATTCAAAGAAGGCCATTTCTGTCTACTTTACTTTTAAAAAACAAAGGATAAATCTAGCTGAAAAATCTATACCGATATATTTGCGCTCTTTAACGACCACCTTAGATATACGTTTATTATTGGCGCAATTAAATATAAGTTAAGGTTGTTTCCTACCAAAATCAACTTTGATCAATGCGGTGGCAATCAGTAAGCGTTGCAATTTGGCAACCTGGATTTAACAGAGCATAAAAGTTCAAAAGCTTTTAAATGTTTTATTACGAGTTGTGGGTTCTAGGCCCAGATGTAATTAGCCATATGTGATAGGAAGAAGTTTTATGGTGGGCGTTGTTGGTTTGATGATTTTATTTTGACTCATTTTCAGTCGAATTTCACACGGTGAACCTTATGCGTAATTAACTATTACCCTATATAGATATTTAATATTTATAGTTTCCCTGCGATTGGCCTCTTCATTCGTCAGCATTTTTATGCTAAATACAGTTGAAGAGGGACACTCAGCATTTCTTCTTAATTGCAAAAAAAAAAAACAATTGTTTTATCGACATTTAATTTTAACAAGATCTCAGATTGTGTATATTGGCTAAATTGATCTCTTACCTTTTATTACATATTTAGTGATTTGTTATAATTTTCTCTTACACTACAAAAAACAGACAAGAAGATCAGCACCAGCCTTACACTTGTCCTGCAGATAGGAAACGCCTGGACCGAGACCGGGTAAATCACTTTCATGATCTTTAACTTTTTATCATTTTCAGACGTGTGTTATAGGTTCTAGTCTTGTCTATTCTTTTAAAGTTTGCATGTACACTAAATCTTACAAAGTTACATACAAGCATTCATTCTTCACCCAGATGAGAACGTTTTCTATTCAGGACAATAAGGAGACTTATTTAAGTAGGATTTCGGCAATTTCAAGAAAGGCTTTCTTCGAATTTCAATAATATTACAATGATAGTAATAATAATAATAATAATATTAATAATGATAATAATGATGATGAAAATAATTATTATCAAGGTCTTTATTCATCCGTTCTTACATACTTTAGACAAAGCATTTTTAAACCTGTCGGGCAGTCCTCGTGAGATCTGGTAAGGATATGATCTACCTATGTAAGGCTCAGATATATAGGGGGAAGGAGATCCTGAAGCGGATGCCGCGAAGGAGAGCCACAATACTGTTCCATGTTTTTTCTATTGCATTTGCTGAATCGATATGATATGTTGAATGTTTATCCAGATCTAAAAGCTCTTTTCTGTTGCCTATCAAATTGGCTCAGGTATTTTATATATATATATTTTTAGACACTGTTAATTCCCTACAAAAAGAAAGGCACCAAGTTGTCAGGGCCAGCAGAGGTTCTTTTCGTCTGCAACAGTGGCATTAAGACAAACGTTTTCGTGTAACACAAGGACTTGACGATTCTGGAATGTTCTTATTCGATTGTTCTTGAATACTTCTTTCAATTTTGTTTTGTGTTCTTACACTTTAGGATGTATTTCCTGACAATGCAACAGGAAGGAAAGTTTTGTCTTTGTCGATCAACTGCCCGAGTAAAGGTTGCTCTTGGACTGGTGAATTGAGGAACAAACAGGTAAAAACAAAAAATATATATTCAAGGTACAGCGGATTCAGTTTGTCTCAAGCACGCATTTTAAGCCGGAAATATCACGGTCGGAACCCAGATCGTTCCATCCAACTGTAGGACTCACAATTTCCCTCCACAATAGCACACCTTAAGTGTACTATTATTATTATCTCTTTCAATAGCAGATGATACATTCATTTGGGCGTCGTAAATACATGAGAAAGAAGTGTTTGTAAGTGTCTATCAGGTTTTAGGCCCTGCGAATATTCATTAACAAAAAACTGAATTTTAGCTCAGTAATTTTCCCAACTGGAGTGGAAACTAAGACCTGGAAAAAGCAAGGAGAAAAAGATCACTTCTTCACTTTCATTTCTCTACTTCTTCTTGTTTTATTTATTTATTTATTTGCTTTGTTTTGTTTATTTATTTAATTCTTTTTACTTGATATTGTTTAAAACAGGCTCACCTGGAAGCTTGCCCGTTCAAAATTGTTACTTGTACCAACGAACATTGCCATGTGACCGTGAAAAGAAAAGAGCTCGAACAACACGTAACAAACACGTGCGAATGGAGGATCATAGAATGTAAATACTGTGAAGAACCACACCCAAAGAAGCACTCGCAGGTAAACGCAACTAAAATGAACAGACCCCATTTTCCACTTCGCGTATTTTGCAAGATGCCTCTTTAACCCTCCACAACAGATTTTAACAGACGAGATGAATACCTCTTTCGTTTGATCTTTGACTTGGATGTGTGAGTGAAACTTTTCACTTGCCGACGAAGTGCCGTGGACGCCTAGACTACGAGTAGTCCCCCATTTTTCCTCAGGGATAGTAGGGCGAGCGAAACGCGAGCGCGCGTGAAAATCACCCCACGCGAGAAAAGGCGACACGCGGCGGGGAGAGAGAAAAATGAGGGACTACAGACAAAGCCCAAGCTTTTGACCCTTCACGGCCGACTGATTCTGGAGTGTGAAGTTCGTATCACGTTCTAAATCAATTAAGCGCATCCAATGGGATTCCTTCTCTCATTGAGCTGTCATTGCCCTTGTCATCGGTAAACTGCAGGGGATATTTATTGCAAGTGAAAGAAAACCCAGACACAATTTTTCTTCGCGGCTGTTTCGCGCGAAGAACTGATGAATGGCTGAAACGCCGAAAAAGTCAGTTGGAAGACCTTTAAAAAAGCCAAGTTGCAGTGACTTTTGTCGTGTTTGTGGCTGTAACTTCAATACTTATTACGGTGATTTTAAACGAAGAGTTTCTACAGAGAATCTCTTTGAGATCCCTAAACGAGCGGGCGTTGAGAAAAGTCGCTTGGCTGACCTGTTGTGCGAACTTGGAATTACATGTGAGCAATCAAGTTCTCTTTCTTCTCGTGTCTGTGCAAAATGCGGCACCAAAATAAGAAATGCTATCGGACTTTGTCGATTTCTTCGGGGAAGTCTTCTCTTCCAACCCCCGAAAAGTGTTGTGGACGTTGAACATTCGCCGATTGCGATCGAGCGTTTTAAACGAATGGCACGGTCTCCTGTAAGTGAAGGTCTTGCTTCGTCGTCTTACGATGGTGTAAGGACTGGCAAAGCACGCAGATCAATTGTTTATGGCCCTTCTGAAGACGAAACATCACTAGTACTCGAGAAAACGGATCAACTGAAGGTTGTAATCCCAACAAAGGATGACACGATTTCCCTACGATCTGCCCCAGACGAGCTTACAGAAAAGATCGTGAAAAACATCTGCAATCGCAACTGGAAACCAGTCGCCAATGCGATGTTCGCACATACGGAGCTCAGGAACGAATTGATGTCGGCTCTCTCCAAAAATTTATCTCGTGAAATGTCTGATTATTGCCACAGTGAAAGCATGCTCAAGTACAGTACACCAAGTGAGTTGTCCGCGTTCTCTAATAGAACTTTCGTGCACGAAGTTAAAGTATTTTGCCCTTTATGGTACTCGTGTATTATTGGAGCTGCAAACGTTGGCGATGACATCGAGGAAAGTATAAATCCCATGGCTTTAGCGACTGCTTCAATCGCACGCCATCGAAACAGCCGTATGTCTGCATTCGCAAAGCGAATTTCCACCGTTTTGGTTCATACTGGAGCAAAAGCAGATGACTTCACTCGATTGAATAGGCTTGGCATCTGCTCTTCTCACAAGCAGGTAATCCGTGATCAGGTTGAAATGGGCAGTCAGCATGATGTGAAAGTATTGATGTGGAAACGTGCCATTGAGGAGAGAAAGGGAACTTTGCTGTTAATCGAAGAAATACAAAGCCAGGCTGCAAGTATGGACGCGCCAGTCGATGTGTCCCAAGCTGCGCTAGAGGGCAAGTATTTTTATTCTGAATTGTCATTCAACAAGCTGAGTGGCCTTCTTCACAGAGAAGATGGAGAAAATTGCCTTGCCAGTGCTGAGGAGTTAGCGAGCGCAAAACAGGAATTGCTGAAGGAAGAGCAAGTGTCTTACAGGTACACTTTCTAGCAACAACTTGAACATCATTTTAATTTTATCCTGAGTAAAAGAAATCACGAACTACATTGATTAAGGTTACATCGCAAGGGTCAACTCATTTGTTCCAATTATTGTTATTTACAAGTTGTTTATTTAAACTTCCAAAAATATATAGATAATGGGACTGACTCCCATTTCTTCCACTCTTCGGTTTTGAATAAATAATTTTATTCACTCACTCTGTTATCATAAAAAGGCCTTTCACAAATAACTGTAAATAACTTTATTTTTGTATTGTTTAAAATTATTACATTATTCGGGCATTGGCAATTTTTTTGGTTACAATAACTTTATCTTTAGACATCTATATTATTATGGTGGTTGAAGTTATCTGGAAACAGCCTAATTTGTTGCAGGTTTCAAATGTTTATTCTTCCTACTGAAGACAGGTTTTTTCTTTTTTTTAGAATTGTAGCTGACAACTTGGATTTCAGCCTCTCTGCCAGGATCCAAACCAGCAAACTGAGAAACCAGTCAATTCATTGGACTCATCACCTTGCTATCCGTGATAGGGTCGTAACCCCTTGCAGGGACCATGCTGCAGCGACAGGTCAAAGAAAGCTCATGGACCTGGAGTTATCCGAGTTGCTACCTAGCGAAGACAGTAACTTTACTGTTGAAAGTGACTTCATCACTCTGGTGTCAAGGATATTAGTAAAGTACCTACCTGCTTTCAGTTTTTTAAAGGACGTTGTGGTCCACCATATTCCTCATCAATACAGTCAGGAGATGGCACAAAAATCTGAGGTGGTAAGTACAGTTATTTATGTGATCTCAAGTTTGTTAGGGGTGAAATATCTTGCACATGTGTGGTCACCCATTTCTCAGGATTGACTTTTGTGAAATGGCAGTAGATTTTACTTTTGAATTAGAAATTTCCTGCTACAATAGAATACAGATGTTGACAGATTGCCATGGAAGAGCCAATCAGAGTTTTGCGTTGTGAGAGCAACGCATTAGTTCAAAAGCTTGGGCTTTGTCTGTAGTCCCTCATTTTTCTCTCTCCCCGCCGCGTGTTGCCTTTTCTCGCGTGGGGTGATTTTCACGNACATGCCACACAAACAAACACATCAGACACAAAAACATGTTAGCGCACCCCCCTTTTTATAAAAATCTTATTGGTGGTATTTTTTTGAGGTGTTTTTTGCGAACGCCCTGAAAAAGGGTGTGTTTTGGGGTGGGGGGGGGGGGGGGGGGGGGGGGGGGGGGGGGGGAAGGAAACTGAGTGTATTATGCGGAATTGAAAAATAGAGAATCGGGTGGTGAAGTTCTGAAAAATTTCTCTCGGTTTAATTTTACACTGCCTGAAAAAAACTTGTGATGGTTTTCAGTTTAAGTGCAAATTAAAATATATTTGTGTTTTGCAGGTTCACCTGGAAATTTGCAGCAAGATTCCACTTTCTTGTCCTAACAGATGTCGGAAATTAATTCCTAGAGAAATGGTACATGCACTTCATTTCAGTTTAAGTGACGTCATTGATGGTAGAGTAGTGGTATATATCGCAGGCATGGCTACTGTCTGGGTACCAGCGAGTAAGGTTCTTAGCAATGTCTTTGTTTGTTTTCAAAAGTTAAAAGCGATCTCCCTTATAAATAGACAACAAAAAGTCTAAAACGTCTCAGCTAATAAATAAATAAATGAATAATACCTAAATATATAAGTAAATAATAACACAAATTATACGCGATGATCGCATGAGCTATACGATATGGTGTCAGGACGTAGTCCTTGATAGGTTGTGATTAACCAAAGCGGCTGAAATAGAGGCTTGAGCGGGATTAGGATCCCAAACTTTAAAACACTTTTCTTCAGAAGTCATCCTTGGAGATCCAGGGGCAATCTGTCTGATCAAAAGAACCGGCGCGACGAGAATTTTCAAGCACGGGAGGAAGAGCCCTTTCCACCCGTGCTTGGAAACGTTTCCTCTTGACCCGACTGACTCAGTGTTCCTGGATCTCCGCGGATGATCTGACCTTTGCTTAGCATTGGATCTGTTTATTAAGTCAGTTTGCTTATTTAATTTTATTATTTTCTTTTAGATTCCAAACCACATTGATAACGACTGTCCTTTGTCTTTAGTCTCCTGTCCTTATGCTCAAATGGGATGCACTGAAAAGGTTTGTTCTTGATCATTAACGTTTTAAAATTTATTGTGAAAGCTAGTTTACAGGCACTCCACTAAAAAAAATAATTCGTTACAAATAATAATCCAAATATAACATAACAAGGAAAAAAAAAAACACAACAGGCTGGACACGACCAACTGGCGAAGAACGACCGAGAATAAATCCAGCTACAGCTGTAGTGGCCATAGAAAGACTTAAAGACACTTACTAGACTAACATAAACTTTTATATTTATTGGACTTCAAAATCTATACGCTGTTTTCTGAGGTAATCTGTCTTCTTTCTACAGTTTCAGCGCAAAAACGTGGATCCTCATCTGCAATCGTACACCCGAGAACATCTTGACTTAGCCTGTGTTAAACTTAACAGCACACAGGTTCAGTTGGATGAACAACGAGTTCAGTTGGATGAGACACGAGCTAAACTAAACGGTTTAACCCAGGATCAGTTAACGATCATAAAAGAATCTCAAGAAACAAAAATAAAATTTGAGGAGAAATTAGAGGCACTTCAAGAGCAGATATATATGCTCGGGAAAATAACTAGAAATAGTGGCAATACACAATTTGATTGGAAAATCACATCCTTTTTGAGTGAATTTATGAATCGGGAAGAGCGTAAAACGATAGAAAGCGATCCATTCTACACTGCCCTTTTTGGATACAAATTAAAAGTGTTTGTCGATCTTAACTACCGCCGCGGACTGTATACGAATGACCCAGAACTCTGGATCGGTATCAGTTTAATGGAAGGTGAATATGATGACATATTACCCTGGCCTTTCACGTTGACAACAACGTTCAAAGCGCTTGGAGGAAACAGTTGTGTTCCTGACAAACCGATGACCATTGTACGACAATTGAGCCCAACTAAAAAAAATTTAAGTTTACCACTATTCTCAAAGAGACCAAGAGGAGGTTCGACAGCTGATGGCTGGGTAGAGAGTTTCCTAGACTCATTTCATCTTGTAGATGGGGTCTGCATTATAAATGACACTCTGTCTCTTCAAGTAGATGTAGGAAGACCTGATGCCAACCTAAGCTGTTCAACGCCTGGGTATAAGGGTTACCGCCGGCGTAGCTACAGAAAATGATTTATTGGCTACAGCCTTGGCAAAAGACTGGACTTGGCACAAATATAAAAGAACTCATTGTCCTTAACATTTCATTGTATTGTTAGCTGTATATGTCACATGACTATTTTTTTTTTCTGAAAATCTTAAATAATTGAAAAATCGGTGACGAGTTTTAGAAAAGAAAGCAAGTAAAAACATTTTTCTGCTTCAATCATATTAAAAAGTGACTGTCCATTTCACTGTAATAAAATTTTATAAGGGCAAACATCATTAGAAATGGCAAATTTTAATCTTAAATTACTCAAAACTTCAATTTTAAACTTCAAGTACATTCATTCCAAACGTAGAAAGTAAAGATTTCTTATCAGAAAGACCAATTTATCCATTTTCCCTTTCAATTTTTTTACCTCTTTCATGTCAACCGATTGACATATCCCCGCGGGTTAATGGCATCTTGTTTTATACACCCTAGAGAGATAGATTGCAATAAGTTTTTGTAATTATGCAAAATAGTTGTGATTTCCAGAAACTGGAGGCTTCTTGTGAATAGGTTATTCTAGGCGAGGATATCGTCTCTTGGTTATGCACCTACGTGGCCATTTTGATTTTTCTTAAAGCTTTGCAGAAAAACTCAGCAACTGACTCAAATAGAACTGACTTAATGTTAACTTGTAGCCTAAGGAGAGACGGAGATGCCCCTCGTCTCGCTTAGGGGGTGTAAAGTTTTGGATTTTTGGTGTTTTTTCCTGGGGTTCTTAGAAAAACGTCAATATTTTAAGTCGTAAAGATCTCGTTTAGGGTTGCACGTAAAAAAATGTATACAAATATAAATTCTACTTTAGTGTATGGCGTCTTTCATAGGTAAACAACCCTGAGGTACGCCGAGATTGGCCTCTTTTAATTCACGGCGGGTGTAACGATTAAAAATTTGTAGCCTTTTTTGAAAATAAATAGAGGTCAAAAGTTCATAAAGTAGTATTTTAGTTCATAAAGCTAGTATTTTCAAGCTGCTACACCAATGCCTCTTTTTCAAATTGAATTTTTATATAACCAACTCTCACAATTGTAACTGCTGAAATATTACTTATTGTACATTGCTCAGGACCAAGCAAAAAGGGCTTTTTAGTATATTTTTATTTAGCAGAATAGTGGCTGCATGTTAGCGATCAGAGGAACACTCATTGCAGAATTGATGGGAAAACATAGACACTAAAATTACTGAGAGAAATCAGCAAAATTAAAAAATTGAACAAGTTAGGATAGATGTTGTTGTAAAATCGTACAAAATAATGCGTCTTTAAATTATATGTCATAGTCACCATGAAAAATTCTTGAAAATTTCCTTTCCCGGTTCTCAACAAAGCTGACCTTGATAAAAATGTTATTATCCTTGATAAAGCTGCGTGCATACAAGTCCTTGTGAAACACGAACTCCCACACGCCACAGGCAGCTTCCGAAGATTGACTTGGTCTTGCTAATCCTTCAGCGTTAAGCTGTAATTCTTGCCTCAAATGTCTTCTTTTCTCAACTAAATAATATTGATCAAGCAAGGTAAACATGACCGAGTCTTGAAATGGCCATAAAAGAAGTCCGTCATACTCTCCGACCAGAACCCTGAGATATATTGACATAAAATTCCCTTTTTCCTGATCAAGGGTGTCATTGGTATGGTAACCATCAGGGTACAATTCCAACACAAATTTGTAGCCGTTACGAGATGAATAGAACGGTTCACTAACTATCACCCTTTGTTCGTTTCTTTGAGCAGCCGCCATGACCGATGAAAAGTTCGATATTTTCCAGATAAAGGGGCAATTCTGTAAGCGTTCCAACTTTTCTTCAAGAAAAGATATCTTCTGAGCCTGTTCTTCAATTGTCTTGGTCATGGTAGCAACTCCTTTGCAAGCCAAGTGAAGATGAGAGTCTTTCATGGCGTCAAGATGAGCTTGCATATCACGCCTCTGAAACTAATGAAATATAACGTCACTATATACTTTATCAATACGCTGNTCTTTGAGCAGCCGCCATGACCGATGAAAAGTTCGATATTTTCCAGATAAAGGGGCAATTCTGTAAGCGTTCCAACTTTTCTTCAAGAAAAGATATCTTCTGAGCCTGTTCTTCAATTGTCTTGGTCATGGTAGCAACTCCTTTGCAAGCCAAGTGAAGATGAGAGTCTTTCATGGCGTCAAGATGAGCTTGCATATCACGCCTCTGAAACTAATGAAATATAACGTCACTATATACTTTATCAATACGCTGTTTATGCCAATTACAGTGTTATGTTTTGTTATCCTCATAGCTCACCCCTAGTACAGTAGTTTAACTTCCATGTGAAAAGAACATCAGAAATTACCGCAAAATTAAAGTGCTATTAATCTCAATTTCTATGCGATGATCTATATGTTTATAACATACAGTAATTATTAGACAAGCATATCTGAAAAGGTATAAATAATTGTCAGTACATTTCGCCGATTTGCGGTGATCAACTTCCTCAGCGTAACCATTCAAACAGTGAGCCTTATAAATCCACTAGGCCCTGCTCTAGATTAATTCTACAGTTTTTATTAATTTGCTAATAACCCAACAATAGATTTGCTAATAACCTAATATTATTTAAAAAATTATAAAAATAAAATAAGCAAAATTGACCAAAACAAACCAGACCAAATAAATCTCTTACCTTAATTGCACAACCCAAGGCAACATAGTCACAATCGATTACGGTCAGCGGACAAAGTCGTTCGGTATGGTGAAGCAACTGTTGAGGAAGAATATGTTTGAAATTTCCTACCCGTACTTTATCCCGTACAAGTACAACAATCTAGCTCAGGTCCTTCCTTGCCATGAGTCAAAGAGTAACAAAAGATACTCATTTTATAGCGGCGAGAGCTGTTCATGATTGCAAGTGGGTCTGTATCGAGCCAACCTACACAAAATCACTGATACGCTGGATTGCGTTTAAGGATACGCTAATTTTGTGCTCTTGCAGAGAGGATGCCAGCTAAAAGCCTTAACAACTTAATTTCATACACGCACCATAAGAAGATGTAATTATAAAGAGAGTGTGAAAATTAGTAAGGGTTATGAATGCAAAAACAAAAGTGGTCGCTCTACCACATTTATACTGCTTGACCGCTCTCCGCAGAGGGCAACGAGAGTTTCGCACTTGTAGGAGAACTAGTTGGAGTCGGGCTGGAAGACCGAAAAGTTCCATCGATCTTTTTCTTTCTCCTTGATCCTTTAATTCTATCGATTTCCGCTAACCCCCGAGGGGCCTCCAAACAAATGAAAAAGGCATATTTGAAAGGGGCCTGGGTATATCAACCTTTCCCAGTGGTAGAATTAAAAATTTGATATCGAGTGAATAGTTTACCTCTTCTCTTGGTACGTTTTTCAGTCCACATTTATTGCTGCACTCGACTGGAAATTTCCCACAGGTTTCATTGTGCGCCTAAACAAGAAAACAGGAACACAAACGGGACGTAGTGTTGGAAATAGGACTCGTGGGGGTGCAAGATACGTATCTAAATTGTTAGTCATCAACCATTAACATCATCATCATCATCATCATCATCATCATCATCATTATCATCATCATCATCATCATCATCACCATCATCATCATCATCATCATCACTACCATCATCGTCACCATCATTGTCAAATCAGTCTCGAGTGACCATTCTAGATGTGCCCCTGAAGGCTAGACATCGTCTGCTGTGACCGTGCAGACCGACGCGCGACTGACGTTGATGTTAAAGTCGTCGTTCCGATCACTACGAAGAGACCAGAAGCCGAAGAACACCCCCCGAAGAGAGCGAAAAAATTCAAACTGATGAACGCTACAATGACAATAAATGACAACGAACATACGTAATCAGAAACAACATCCCTCTAGGCACTAAGTTTTATACATCCCTCGAATGTTCGACCCTGATCGTGGTTTTTTTTTTAAAGAGACAGTGGCAGTGGCGCCTCAGAGAACTAAAAACATTCTCTCTACAAAGGCTGCGGTTTTTGTTCAGAAGCTACTCACATTCTTCTCCAATTTGGGAAAACTAACATCACAGAAAGCACATTGCATCACAGACCAGAGGCAAGAGGTCTCCACGTGTGTGATGACGTCCTTGCGAAGAACACATTCCTCACAGCCCGCGTTGATACAGTGTACTGGTTCATAACTGCAGTCGTCTTGATGTTTCTAAATAAGAACGTATTGAAGATATTACATACCCGCGCGTGGATACGAATTTTATCTTCGAGTGTTCAACTCGATAGCGCTCACTCGTGAGATAGCGAGTTGAACACCCACATAAAATTCGTATCTACAAGTGGGCATGTAATATTCTGTTTATCATATAGACACCGATGGCGAGATGCTGTGACGCTCTTTTCCTATTGGCTGAGACTGAAGTAGCCATGACAACCGTGATATCTTCACATGAGAAGGATAAAATTGCATTTTCACTGGATACCGAATTTTCGTCACTGGAGAAATCCTGGTATTTCATCGGTGTCTATATACTGAAAATTAAGGCCTCTCGTCCAAATGTATTAAGTCAGTGAGAAACTGGGTATGCGAGCATACAGTTTATGTGAAATGCGCCTCAATCTTCAAAGGGAGGTATGGATTTAGTTACAATAAAGGTTGAACAGAGTCGACGGTTGAAATGGGGCGAAAAATCGCAGCGTGTAATGATCAATTCTTACCCCAGCGTCTCTAAGCTCTCCGGTCCAGGTGCAATCTCTATTGGGACATTTGACCTTGGCATCCAGTATTTTGCGATGACATGCAACGTCAGAAAAAATCTGTAAAATCATTAGGGGAAAAAAAATCACATAATTGAAGAAAAATGAAACGGAACATTGGACTGGTGTAGAACAATGGAAGGTGGTGCAACAATCAAGGAGGGAAACACACATTAGT